TTTTTCGGTTTCCAGATTTCTGCCAAAAATTGTTAACCTTTGGCTATGATGCCAGTGTTCCCGGTCACACACGGAACTCCTTAGACAACGACAGGATTATTGTGAAAAAACAGAGACAGTCCTCTATCGTGGAACCCACCTTTGCAGTTTGGCCTGCGAGGGGTCCTCGGCGATAGAGTGTGCCTGGACAGCAGGATTTAGACGCGGACTCGTCGGTGAGGAACGCATCATCATCACCACGGGGTTCATGCAAGAGATCACGTATGGTAAATCTGGGAGGTACCCAAGAAGTCGACTTTTTGGGTACCTGCTTTGGTGGTGATGGGTTGGGCTACCGGGAGAAACTGATCGATTCAGCATAAGGGGACATCCATGGGCAACGCCCTCGCTGGCTGACGTGACCTAGCAAACACCATGGGCAGCGCCCTTATCTCGCAACAAACACCGGCTGCCTCTCACCCGACAACTTGGATGACGGGGGCTCTTCTCAACTCCTGCATTTGGCTCGAAGGGTGCTCCAGGAAACCCTACCCTCCCCACGTCCAGGGCAACGTCCTTCCTCCTACCGTGGAACCACCCGCTTCCACACCCTTCCGTCCCCCCCTCCCCCCCTGGCCTACCGCACTGCAGACATTCCGCCACGCGCGCGTGCCGCCCGCGTGTACATGGCTACGGTCTCTTCCCTGGCTGCCGCGAGAAGCTATCCATCACCTCCCCGAGCTTCCGTTTGCCTGCTCCGTCCTAGAATCAACACGCCACATGGCGCGGACACGGGCGCCTGACAAGCATGCGAAAATCTTCCCAGGGCCTTTCACGTTACCACGGGCACTGGCTGGACCTCGTCCAGCGCAAAATCTACACAAAGCCTAGCGCATTCCTGGGAAAATTCCAGGGCGTTGGCCGGGATTAAAAATAAGTTCATCGATTTTTGAGCAGATCAGGGAACCTACATGCAAGCGGACATGAAAAAAAGGGGGAACTCCTACCCGGGGGCGGTCTAAGGCTAAGGCCAAGCTAACGCTACGGTAACATCGACAGTCACGCCTCCCCCCACCTCTCTGCCTGGAGCAAAGCTAGCGCTAAGGTTCTATCCCTTGGGGGTCGGCGGCTGCAGGCGGTAGCCTGGCAAATATAACCACATAAGAAAGCACATCGCAACTGCTGGTCCAAGGAATTCAATTCTTTTTGCTGGCGGTGAGCTACCTTGTGCTTTCCTTGCCTTTTCTCATTTACCAGGAGGACAGTGGCATGAATGGATTCAGAAATGGTGAACTACCTAGATGCAACATACTTGATCCTGCCGTTCTCTTTTCCCATGGCCTGGGGCTGCTCTTCCCCCAGTTCTGATAGTTCAGCGGGCTGCTCATGGCAGCTCATGGCAGTGCCACTGTTCACGGGCGGAACAAACTCCCGTCGCGCCGCTCTCGGGTGCTTTTTTGCTCATTTAGGAAGGACGCCTGGGAGAAGACCGCCTCCCAGGCGTCCCGACCCGCTGGATGGTTCGATCAGACCGGGTGAGACCCCATTGGTTAGGGGGTCTCACCCATCTCTGAAGGTCGGCCACATCCTCCAAGTCCGCTACCACGGTCGCAAGGCTTGTGTGTTGGAGCATCTCCTGCGACCACTTGTCCAGCATCTCACTGCGACCGAAGCGTCGAGATCTCGGCGAGATCAGACCCCGGGGGAAAAGGACTCGGACTCGGGCGGGGTCGCCCGTCTCCAGAAGCAGTTGCACAGCTCATCACTGTCACGGAGCTGATCTCTTTTCGTCACGGTCGACTCGGAGAACGGGACCCGCACGAACGACACCGGCGATGGTATGCGCGGACTGTGCGGGGTGAGCGGTATGCGCGGACTGTATGCGCGGTAGTGAGCTAATGAGAATCTGGGAGCAAAGCTTCCATCAACTTCTCTTCATCCTTCCAAGGATTCATGTAATCCATATCGTTGTGACCCCAGTAGCAGGGGCCGTACTTCAAATGCTCTTTGGCTCGCTCATCTATGCCCCCAAAATCCTTGGGAGAGCAAACGCTGCCTTTGCAGGCGGCAAAGTTCTCACGCAAATGATCCACATTGGAAGACTGCAGTACTGTGCTGGAGTTTCGGCTTTGGTTCCACTGCATGCACACCTGGAAGACAGACAAGTGATTCCGATCTGCCACTTGTTGGACAAATTCATCATTCACAGCTCGATGGTTTCCACTGAGCTCCGTCTTGGGTCCGCCGAAAGGAGCATAGCCTTGGAGCGGAGCGAGATTTTTCTCAACACCTCACCATACCTGCTCAGCAAAGCACGTGTCACACAAAAACTGGGACCACTTTGGACAACTCTTCCCAAACACACCATGGCAGAATATAATTGGAATATACCTATCTTGGGGTGGTAATGAGAGGTGGAAATGAGTGTCTGAAAGGGCTCTGGGTCCAAGCGTGTGACAGCTTGGACTCATGGCCCGGCTTGGAGTTTCACCGGACACCGCCACCACAACGTGGATCCGTCCACCCCCAAACTTGCTTCAGGTTCAAGGCATTTCAAGGCCTTTGGAGTGAGCTGATAAGGAATACCACCGTCTTCTCCCCTCAGTTGAAGGGGTGAAAACCACCTCTCACTGGGCGTTTTCTGCCTACCAGGTAGCCCTGGAAGAGGATCTCATGCTTCCTGCACCAATCACGAACTGACTTGTTGCTCCAGTGAGGATGCGATTCTCCTTGCATGACCATTGGAGAAATGTTGCTGGAACCTCAGAGATAGATCTGGCCGAGAGGAGCGTCTAGGCAAGCTCTCGGAAAAAGAAACAATCAAAACACAAGGCTCAAGGGACAAGCTGGACCAATCTTTTTCTAGAACCCACTGGGTGCTTGCTGGACACTCCCAAATGATGGATATGCCGATTTCACAACAACCTCCAATAGCAAAACCAGGACGCTGAGCAGTTGCTCGAGGTGCTCGATCGTGTAATTGCTGACACCAATGGCCCTGGCCTTTCCTGATCTGTAGAGCCTTGGAGAGTCAAATTCCTGCCAGGAGTACTGGCAGAGTATCTTGTCAACCCCCAACTACCGTTCTGCTGGGCAAGTCACCAGAGTTAATGGTGCTCTTCCTGAAATGAGCTTAATGAGAAGGCTTGAATTCCTGTCTATCAGGGCACAATCGTGGAATGATCCCCTCAACACTCTTAGGACTCAGCCTCAAATCTCAAAATTGTTTACATATTTTTTCTTGCCACCAATAGTCCTACCGAGATTTGAGCTAAGAATTTTCAGCATATGTCTTTGAGCGCCAGGAAGCTCTTCCATAGCAGCCCAAGTCCCCCGCGCTCGCTTGGCTCTCCATCGTGCAACCGCCCGCCATTGCATCAAATCCCAGTCCTTCTGCTCCGGACTCCTTGGATGATAGAAGCGGCTTCCACCGGGCAACACATAAGGGTGTGGTCAACAAAAAGACCTTGGGCAAGAGGACCTTCCAAGCGGTGATAAGCTATAGTGGCTTTCTCCATCCCCGGCTTTCGTACAGGGATCCGACCACCTCTTCTTGGCTGGCGGATTTGCAGATCGCACGACCGCACCAAATGGCCTAGACTAGAAGCGGCCGTGGAAAAGCACAATCCACCAGCACTTGATCTTGGTTGCCAAATCAAGATAAAAACTTACATCTGCATAACCAACACATAAGAACACATCTAGAATAACTATATACAGACATACAGATAAATACAAGCTATATATCATTCTATATCAGTATTTGCTCAACCCAGGATGCAGAGATGCCAGGTCCCTTGTGGATCAGAGTTGCTAGAAAAACACAAACCATAATACGAATACCATCTTCCACAGCCTCACATAGACCCCCTCAAATGGATCATGATGGTGTAAGCTGTGGGTAGAAGCTGGTAGAAGGTAGACAACTATCGTAAATGTTGGTTCAAAGAACGGTTTCAGGATGTTTCAGGTCAGTTCATCAACGCAGAGCTTTGGAATGCAAACTGAGGCTCCTAGTCGCTGACAAAAGACCTGACAAAAGACCTGCTGGGTCCACCCAACTACTAGCCGCTAGTCGCTCGCAAAACGCTCAAGACTCCAAGCATGAGGCCAGTGCACCAGCAACAAATCGGCATATTGAACCTGGAGTTGCTCCAGTTGACGATGCAAAGAGAACTTGGTCTCCTCATAGCCGTGGCTCCATGGAGGAATCTTCACGATGAGAAACACTTCCTCTCCTCGGATGGGTGGGCCATGGGGGTGCCGGACGTATCGAACAAAAGCCCGGGCACCGGGTGTGCTGCGGAACGCATCCCCAAGGCGACATCAAATTGCTGAGATGATTGCATGTACCTATAACCCGATACGGTCAAACATGTGCGGATCCTTGGTTCTTGGCTTCCAACCCTTGAGCAAATCGCAATTCGCATCGCAACTTCGCCAACGACTCCAGGTGTCTCTTCAGCCCAGATCGTTTAAGCGCCCAGGCAACCTTGGCTAGACTACCCCTATAGACCAAATGGGTGTGTATTTTGAGGCTTAAAGTAAAACTAGAGCCCATCTGAAAACCCACTCTCTAGTCATAGCAAACATCCCTTTCTAGATTCTAGACAGATTGGAATGATGAGATTAGAACTTTCCCATGCCTGTACTGGGTGTTTGGGGGTTGACAAAGGGTGACCTATTGCAGAAAAGGAACGTCAAGCAAGTTCCGATTCATTTCAGCAGTGTCGATGCCTCTGTAACCTGACTTGATTGGACATCCATTTGGGTCTGAAAGGGGGGGTTTCGTTGGTCCCGAAACAGAAAAACGATCGCTCAGTGGAATCAGCCCAGCTACCCATTCTGAGCGCTGCCAGAATGGCCGCCCTTCCCTCCGTCTCCTGTAGTGTTCGATGTCCTCCAGTGCCCAACACCAAGCGGGGCATGTTCACGTCTGCCCCAGGAATCGAAATGTACTCAGCCGAGGACGGTGGTTCTTCACACGGTGAGGACGGTGGTTGCAACGTGGCGTTAGGTAGAGGTTCATCTGGGAAGCTCTTGACTTCCTTCTGGACTTGGTCATCATCTTTACTCACCACTGGCTCATCTTTGCTCTTCTGCGCCACTTTGCGACGAAGCCACTCAGGTCTTTTGTCGTCAGCTCCAGTTTGTTCCGCCTCAACAGGAGTTCGCTGCAAGAAGTTCTTCAATGTAGCAGCCAGTACAGCATGCTTTGACCTCTCCTTTTCCTGCTTCAGTGCCTGCGCTTGCAGCTTCTCCTCTTCGTCATAGCTGTCAAAAAGCGCCTTCGGAGACTTACACTTCAGCTTGTGCTGCGGCCTAGCTCGGAGTTGGCAGATCTCATCACAATAGAGCGCGCTTTCACACTTCTTGCACTTCAATCCTCGAAAAAGCAAACGAACATGCTTCCCCAGCTCCCCCCCGGCTTGTGTCCGACGGGAGACATACCGACTCCCAAGACAGGAAGAAGCAAGCAAGCACAAATACTGTAGCTTGGTCTTGGCTGTTTTCTGGTACTTGGTGGTTTTCGTCAATGTTGGTGACATCATTTTACATGCATGCCAAGTATATAACGTGCCCCCGTCATAGCAACTAAGCCAGGGACAAAAGCAATAACCCAAGAACTTCCCTGTAGTCATAGGTACACAGTCACTAGGAGAAACATCAACACACCACTGATTCAACCAAAACAAACACCAAATGGACACCCTATTTATATTATGTATTCATAGACGGGGTTACTTAAGGCAGTGGTACGAAATGCATCGATGCATTTATCCACCAGATTAAAAGAAAGGCAAACAAACATGCTCAGCATTCCCAAGATTCGAGCCTTCACATTGCCACATGCATCGCATCCCACAGGCATCAAAAGCTCTTCCTGTGCGGGCGTCATCGGAGGTCCTCGAGGAGGAACTTGCATAAAAATGCGATCCTGACAGGGAGAATCGATCAACCACTTCGAAGAAACGAATGTCTTACAAGGAAGAAGCAAGAATAAGAACATATAGATAAATACATAGGACATAGTCATAGAATACAAACTTATGGTGTCCAGACTGTCCATCTTTTGTTGTATGTCCTCGTTATTAACCACTTCATCCCGTTTGAAGTCTCCTATATAAGTGGGATGCCCTCTCCTAAGTCTATACCAAACAGTTCACTGGTGAAACCCAGCCACATTCTCCAAACCGCGCTTCTTGCTTCTGGGGTTTCGTCACTGACTCTCTCTGATGATAAGCTAAATTGTATCATGAACGAAAGAGAGAAACCTTCAAGTCACCTAATCAGATCGGAACGTGGCCTCTTCACGAGTTTCTCAACTCCTCCCTGAAGAGGCCACGGTCGCTGAGGAGTCTAAACCTTTAATCCTGGACTCCTTTTCAACGTGAATGAACATGAATCAACTCAAACCCAGCGAACACAGCGGTGGGTCCCCCCCGTGGTTCCTGAAGTGACATCGGCGACCAAGTTCTGGTTCCCAGATGTTCCCAGTTTCCGGGATGCACTCAGTTTCGGGGATAAGAACGATCCTCCCACAAAAGCAGGTCCATTGAGGTAAAAACCGTGGTCCAACATCAGGTGCTTCACCCGGAAACCGTTCGTCGCAGCCGACGGCCTGACGGTCGCGACGGTCGACGTGAGATGCTCCGCTTCGCGACGGTCGAAGAGGGAGTTCTTCGCCATCCGGCATCCGGACCTGGGACGCATGGGCCAGAGTTGGACGGTGTGGGACTGGGCAGCGTCCGGGAATCAACTGGCTTAGGTAGGACCAAAGTCCGGATCACCACGGATGATGCCGCTGATTCAAGGTGCTTCATCTCTTGACATGAACAGGTTCTCCTTGACCTACTTGCAGGGTGTAGATCTTTTAAGCAGAAAGGATCGGAATGCTGGGCGTCTTCTCTTCACCTGGAATCGTGGCCCCTCAAAAGACAGGTCTATCGTGAAACCATGCCTTCTGAGCTTGGTCTATCCTAATACCAGTAACAGTGGATGATGATGCTTTAGGAAGGGCCTTGTTCAAGAATACTGATACTGTTTGCTGACTGTTACAGCTACATAATGGGATAAACCCAACCAAGAGACTATATGTTTTTGGGCGACGGCTTTTTCAATGATCACCCCAATGGCTCCATGCCCCCGAACCCACCCACCGGTGGATGAACCAAGAGAAACCTGCGAGGTCTGAGGCGGGCCATCTTTAGGCCAATGTGAGCTACGGCCAGTTACATATATAACTAACCTTTACAATCATTTACCTCTATCATAAATGATTGTAAAATATTGTAAAGGTAAGGGGCGTCCCAAAAGTCCAGTAACTGGGCCTCCATGGTCCTTTCTAGTTATTCTAGTCATATAATATATATTAATATATGAATATGACCAGGCTTGACCTTTCTGTCTACAACACATGATCTACGACCATAAATTGATAATAAGTTGCCGTTCATTCTTTAATTGAGATTGTCATTTATAATCTCAAGGAGCTACAGAAGGTGAATGACAAGGATATTTTTAACTTTCCAGCACTTATTTCCTCTGTAATTTATCCATAAAAGACAGATATTAATTTATATCTTATGTTTACAAGATTCTTCTCGGATGCTAACGGCGGTTCCATATCTTTCCACTTCTTGTTTTATTATTTATATTAGGATTTTCACCATCTTTATGTTATTCAATGTAAAAATCCTAATATTTGTATCTATTATTTACATTTCATGACTGGGACTTTCATTTTTATGTGTCCCAGAGTCATCGTCTAGTCTCTTAATTTTAATGATAATGCCCTATATTTTAATAATAAGAAAAACCACAAGTTAAAATATAGGGCATAGATGATTATAAATTAAAATCTCTGTCTCCTATCTTGGCCCGTTAACCGCTGTAACGCCCAGAAAGACTATGAAAAAGAAGGAAAAGAAGAAAGAACGAAAATAAATGATGGACAGTCAATATCTTAATCATCATTTATTTTCTACCATCAATTGCCAATCATTTAATTTCTATTTGCTCTCATCTTTAATGAATAAATGATTGGCAATAATATACGAATTACTTTATTATTTGGCCAGGCAGGGACTTCCCAATAGCAAAATCTTTCCTTTATTATTAAATGATGGTCATTCTTTACTTATTTATATTCAAGGGTGGCATTTATTTTGTCTTCCCTTTTTGTCTCTTATGTCCTTACCATGCCACCCGTTGTTTTATTATCTTAAAGTCATCGTCAATTAAGAAATCTATCCAACTAGCCGATGACTTGGTCACACTATAAATTAAAGTGACCATCATTTGTTAATTATAAAGTAGTAAAAATAAAAGTTAACCATCATTTTTCATTATAAAAAAAAGATAATATATGATATGAAAAATGATGGTAGATAAAAGAAATAATAATGCATGAATTTCCAAGAAGAGATTTTATATGAAATTCATGCCATAAGTAATAATATATTTTATAGATTGCCATTTGCAAGACTCCTACCAGTATGGTAAACACCGGTGGGGATTACAACCATCCAGTCTCCCTGGTCTCTCATCGTACCTCTAGTTAGGTGGAGGCCTTTGGGGCTCGGTCTTTGAATTCGATCAAAGCGACTGCATGCTTCGATGCAGGCCCACATTGCATCCCCACGCTGCGCTGCATGGCGGGCTCCACGGGGTTGGCACGGAGGGCGCGGAAGAGTCGGGGTTGGCTGCGGCGATGGATCGTGGATCATGCCCTCTTTTGTTGCTGGGTGCAACACATCGTGACTGTATAGTATAGGCCTACAGAGCCCAAACATGACCTCGGTTTTGATAGAATTAATAACCATACTTTTGGGGGGGTTGGTGATCCAGACTCTAGGTCTGTGCAGTTGGTGTTTGTTTTTTCGCGTCTTACTTCCATCTGGTGGTGGCTGCAGACTATTGATCCGTTACTTCCAACTCATAAGCCATGGATAAACCGATCTATCCCCAAGCGAAGCTCGGCGGCAAGGATTCAAAAACAAGGATAAGGTCTCCGCATGAAAAATCACCTAGTGCAAGTGAGAACTGACTGGTGGGAAATCGAATTCAAAGCAACTCTTGGTACTTTTGATCCCCAAACACATGAAGAAATAGAAACACTGCAAAAGTGTAAACCACCGAACCATAAGCAAGCGGGTAATGGCTTGTACTGGCACCATCATGGCACCACCTTGAAAAGGACAACATCAACATCCAAACTTTGGGTGTTGAGGAGCCACAAGGAGCCACATCTATACTATAGGACCGGGTCCCGCTGTCCAGTTTGCAAGTTTGCGGGTCCGGTCCCCGCCCACAACCCGACCATGGCCATGGTTTTCTCGGAGGATGCGTAAGTAGAATCACCAAGCTCAAGCAGAAACCTCCGAGCGATAGCCAAATCACTTTGGGTACTTATCTACAACTAGCATGAATATAAACGAAAATCTCTCACATCCCGTGCATGTTTGGACGTTTTGCTTGTTGTGTGACCAAAAACACTTTGCCCCAAGCCAGCGTCCAAGTGGCATTCATGTAGCAGGTGTTGCCCAAGTTTTTGATGCCAGCAGGTGGTATCTCCACTTTCCTGAGTTGGTGTCCCTTCCAATGACAATCTGTTCAGAAGTTGACCTGTGTACAAAAAGGAAGTGCCTGCGTGGTGATTTCATGCAACTCGCCCACAACTGTGGGGACCTGAAAGGACGCCAATCAGACTTGATTCTCCCGCAGAAACGACTCCTGCAGAAACAACATAACATTTACTAGTGTTGGCATGTTTTGGCAGTTTGGGGTTTGATGTTTTTAATATTGTTTACCAGCACCACACAAAGGGTGGTTATAATAAGTTATTAGATGGAATACATCTTCAGGGGGGCTTATTAACCACCCTTTGGGTGGTGCGGGTATGTGTTTTATTGTTTTTGTCCCTCTTGTTGTTCCATCGTCCTCTACAGGTCTGACAGAGGTCGTAAACACCTCCATCCAAGGTGCTTCTCTTTCAGGATCTTCGCCTTCTCTTCGGGCGACAAGTCCTCCTCGAACACGGTCTTTTCCTCCGGTGCCTTCAACTCCTTGCCCTGAGCGATTTTTTTGGATCAAAAAAAGATAAACAACGCATCCGGAACCTTAAACAAAAACACATACATACACACACACCCTATGGATCCACATGCCTTCTGCGAAGGTGATTGGAGACTATTTATGTAGGCCCGGAGGGCTCAAGTACCTTCTGAGGAGGGATGTGGATCCTTAGGGAAACACAACTGCAAAACTTGGAAGGAAAGTCCAGTTTTTGAGGGTGTGCTGCGGTATGTTGGTGGACAATAAATACGATAAAATAAGGGAATATTCATGAAGATTCTCATCACTTCGGGGACACACACGCACACACATCTCTAGAGTCCGAAACACACATCCGACTGGAGGACTCCCGCCGTGTGAGCAGCTGTAGCCCTTAAGAGCCGGGGCAAGCCCCTTAATGCGTGTGAGCCGCGGTTAGCCTGGTAGCTGTGCTTGTAGCTATCCAGCTTGGGTGGTGTGTGGATCCAAACACACCACCGTCCGTGGCCTCTATCCGTCCGTCCGTTCAAACCTGACTCCGTTGAGGTGGAATCCAGTTACATGGATGGGTCATTTCATGGGGGTAAATGCCTGTAACACGTCCAAATCCCAATGGAAAACTCTAGCTTCTGGGACCCCCAGCCTCCCCCAAAAACCAGCTTGACCCGCCCCCATCCTTTCCTGTGTTCTTCCGCATGTGTTTCCAGCGCCTCGGGCGTGCCCATCAGTTGGATCTTACTTCCAGGCTTCAACTTCGCCACCTGCGCCGCATGAGGGACGGTGCGATGTCCGGTCGTGCGACGTGACCGGCGGGGGACGGTGGTGTCCTCCGGTGGCGAGTCCAGCGGGGGACGCTCTGCAGCGTTCACGGGAACGGGAACGGCTTCAAGATCGAATAAGGAGCTTAGAGGAGCGTAGTCCGGATCTTGGGGAGAAACTCCGTGGAGAACATGAAAGTTCAGGTTTTGCCGATGAGAACATGAAAACTCGTCCAGATTTTGTCAAAAAATGATGGCCACTGATAACTCTCGGTTTCCACAGAAATACTGTAATTGACCCGTTTCAAGTTGCAAACAACTATGCAAACCTGCAGGCGGAAACAATCTATATGTCTTTCTACACTGAGAACCCACACGGAAACCTCCGCCCCCAAACCGAGCAGCCTACGCTGCATTAAAAAAAATAAAAAAACATTCCAGTTTGGCACAAACTCCTCCTTTGACCAATCACATCCTGCTCAATTCAGTGCAAAGTTCCGGGACTGGAAGAGTTGCATAGTAACATACATTCAAAGTCAAACATTGTAAATTGACACAAGTTGTACAAACACCAACAGCCTGTACGAATTGCTTCCCAGGGCTTCTAAGGCGAGCGCCCCAGTTGGAGCATCCCAAGTCCGGTCCAACACAAGAATGCAGGTAAACTGCTTCCAAAGCAATGGGTTTGTGATGGTTTGTATATATATATATATGCAAGTGAAACCACTTGTGCTCATAAAGGCATCAGCGATGCTTCATATCGCAGTTGTGCAGGGTTCGAGGAAAGAAGGGCAGCCGATTCATTTGACACCGCTTTGCCGTGTCTCACATCCTTTTTGCCATATCCTCAGTGCACGCTCTTGGGCGACCATCGCTACTTCGGACCATCCCTCTTGGATGGTAGCGCGGAGCCTAGTTTTCTAGGTTCAACCAGGGACCTTAGTTGTGACGCTCGGCACGTCGAACACCTGCCGAGATACAAGGGGAGATGAATAGCTCCGAAGTGACCCGCTCCAAAGATGGGGTACCACAGTGGAATGGAGATGCTGCCACTTACCAAGAGTACGAAGAACAAGCCCTCCAGTGGGAACAGAGCATCCCCTACCACAAACGATACCTAGCTGGACCAAAGTTGGTGGCCGAGCTCTCAGGACCAGCTCGGAAGCATGTCACAGGAAAACGGCCGCAGTGGTTGTCATTCAATGGAGGGGTTCAACATTTGCTGGAACACCTTCGTGAATGCCTGGGGAGGCCCACGATTCCAGAGTTGACAGAGTTTTTGAATCGCTACTTCCGCCAGAGCCGCCGGAAGAAGTTTGAGACCATGAACACCTACATCACCCGGAAGACTGATCGTGCTCGGCAAGCCTTAGCTCGAGTACAGAAGTTCTATGGTCAGCGACACCAACCACGGCACCACACTTGGGAGCGTAGGGACTCCATGACCTGGAGCCACAACACCTGGGAGGATTGGCAATGGCACAATCCTGAACCACACTCGCAAGACCATGCTGAGAGTGACCACCCCGGTGATGAGGAACAGTGGTATGAACCCATGAGCGAAGCACCCGCCTCAAACTCCTGGCATCACTCCCGTCGAGAGAGTGATGATGAACCATGGAAGCTCCATACGGAGGAACTGCTGCCAGAGTTTCTTCAGGGGTGGTACCTCCTGATGGACTCCGGATTAGAGAGCACAGAAAGGAACATGATCCAAACAGCTCTCCAAGATGACTTCTCTCTACAGCGAGTTTCTCGTGAACTCCGACTTCAGTGGCCGGATGAAGAACTCCGGCGGCATGACCAGAACTCCCGACACGCCGGGTTTTGGGCGGATGATGGGGGTGACTATGAGCCGGACTTCACCGATTACCAGCAGGAAGCATGGGAGGTGGATGACCTCAATGGTGAGGGCCAGGCACTATACAGTGCGGCAGAAGAGCGCGCTCAGGAGGCATACGCCTTGATAGCGCACCTTGAAAGAAGCTCGGGCACGACAACACCAAGTCAAGTTGAGCCGGCAGTACTACAAGACCACAAACACCAGCCGGCGGTCCTATGGAGATCGGCCCAAGTTCTCCTACAACAAGCCTCCAAGCTCTTCGACCTCGGAGACATGCTTGCGGTGCGGGAAGGGACACCGCACCAATGAATGCCCAGAGCGCCAAGGATCCGATGGAAAGTCCCAGAGCCATGTGGCCACTGAAGCAGCACCATTCATTTGCTTCAGCGATGAGGCAGCCGTCACCGCAGAAGCTGGGACAGCCAAAACCACACAGGCAGCTGTGAACGCAGGGTGCGCCGTAATTGACGGCGGAGCCACCAAGACGCTGGGGAGCGTCAAGGCTATCCAGGCCGTCATGGACATCAATGCCAAGAAGTACGGCAACCATCGCATCCAAGGAGTGGACACCAACAATACCCCCACTTTTGGGTTTGGCAACAGCTCTCAAGACCGCTGCATTTCTACGACTCAGCTGCAGGTTGCTGCGAATGAGCAACCAGGCTTGCTGCAGATCCATGCTCTGGATCGTGGAAGTGGTCCAATCCTGTTGTCCATCCAGACGCTCCGATCGTTGAAGGCCATCATAGACTTTGAGGCCGACCTTTTGGTACTGAGGGGACTTAACGATACGAAGATCATCCCCCTCGAGCGCTCGGCAGCAGGACACCAGCTCCTGCCTTTGACCGAGGATCTTTTTAAAAATGCGAAGACCTGCAATCGACAGGTCCCAAGCCTCAGGGACTTCCTGCATTAGGGACAGCTCCTCTCTGATCTTCAGCCTGAGAGAGAAAGAGAGGTCAAGGGTGAACATCAGGTTCCAATGAGGCTTTGTGAATC